TGGAAAAATGTCTGTTGATATCCTCTGCCCATTTTTCAATCAGGTTTTTCACTTTTTTATTGTTGAGTTGTATGAGTTCTTTATATATTTTGGAAATTAACCCCTTGTCAGATAAGTGATTTGCAACTATTTTCTCCCAGTTGGTGGGTTGTCTTTTCATTTTGTTGAGGCTTTCCTTTGCCTTGGAGAAGCTTTTTGGTTTGATGTAGTCCCATTTTTTTCTTTTGTTTCCCTTGTCCGAGTAGACATGGTATTCGAAAAGACACTGCTAAGACTGATGTCAAAGAGTGTACTAACTATATTTTCTTCTAGGATTTTTATGGTTTCAGGTCTTAAATTCAAGTCTTTAGTCCATTTTGAGTTAATTTTTGTGTATGGTGTAAGATAATGGTCTACCTTCCTTCTTTTGCACATTGCTGTCCAGTTTTCCCAACATCATTTATTGGAGAGACTTTCCTTTCTCCATTGTATGTTCTTGGCTCCTTTGTCAAAGATTAACTGTCTGTAGATGTGTGGCTTTATTTCTGGGCTCTCAATTCTGTTCCATTGATCTGTGTGTCTCTTTTTCTGCCAGTACCATGCTGTTTTGACTGCCATAGCTTTGTAATATAATTTGAATTCAGGGAGTGTGATGCTTCCAACTTTGTTCTTTTTCCTAGGGATTGCTTTGGCTATTTGGGATCTTTTGTTGTTCCATATGAATTTTAGGATTCTTTGTTCTGTTTCCATAAAGAATGTCATTGTGATTCTGATTGGAATTACATTGACTCTGTAGATTGCTTTAGGTAACATGGACGCTTTAACTATGTTTATGCTTCCAATCCGTGAGCATGGAATACCTTTCCCTTTCTTACGTCTTCTTCAATTTCTTTCAATAATCTCCTAGAGTTTTCAATGTACAGGGCTTTCACCTCCTCGGTTAAATTTATTCGTCAGTATTTTGTGCTTTTTGTTGTGATTGTAAATGGGATTGTCTTCTTGACTTCTCTTTCTGCTAGTGTGTTATTAGTGTATAGAAAGGCAGCTGATTTTTGCATGTGGATTTTGTGCCCTGTGGCTTTGCTGTGTCTGTGGATTATTTCTGACAGTTTTTGGTGGATTCTTTAGGGTTTTCTATATAGAGAATCAAGCCATCTACACACAGTGACAGTTTTACTTCTTCCTTTCCTATTTGGATCCCTTTTATTTATTTTTCTTGCCTAATTGCTCTTGCTAAAACCTCCAGTACTATTTTGAATAAGAGTGGTGAGAGTGGGCATCCTCGTCTTTTTCCTGTTCTCGGAGGGATGGCTTTCAGTTTTTCCCCATTGAGTTTGCTGTTGGCTGTGGGTTTGTCATAGATGGCCTTTATTATGTGGCAGTGCTTTCCTTCTCTACCCATTTTATTAAGAGTTTTCATCATAAATGGATGCTGCATCTTGTCAAATGCTTTCTCTGCATCTATTGAGCCCATCATGTGATTTTTATTCCTCATTTTGTTAAGGTGGTGTATCACATTGATTGATTTGCAGATATTGAACCATCCCTGCATCCCTGGTATAAATCCCCTTGATCGTGGTGTATGACCCTTTTAATGTATTGCTGTATTCAGTTTGCTAATATTTTGTTGAGGATTTTTGCATCTATGTTCATCAGCAATATTGGCATGTAATTTTCCTTTTTTGTGTTGTCCTTGTCTAATTTTGATATCAGGGTAATGCTGGCCTCATAAAATGAGTTAGGAAGCATCCCATCCTCTTCAATTTTTCAGAACGATTTTTTTTTTTAAAGATTGGCACCTGAGCTAACAACTGTTGACAGTCTTTTTTATTTTCTGCTTTTTCTCCCAAAATCCCCCCAGTACATAGTTGTATATTTTAGTTGCGTATCCTTCCAGTTGTGGCATGTGGGACACTGCCTCAGCATGGCCTGACGAGTGGTGCCATGTCTGCACCCAAGATCCGAACCAGCGAAACCCTGGGCCACCGAAGCAGAGCGTGTGAACTTAACCACTTGGCCTCGGGGCCAGCCCCCATCAGAAAGATTTGAGAAGAATAGGAATTAAATTTTCTTTGAGTGTTTGGTAGAATTTACTAGAGAAGCTGTCTGGTCCTGGACTTTTGTTTCTTGGGAGTTTTTTGCTACTCTTTCTATCCCTTTACTTGTGATTGGTCTCAGATTCTCTATTTCTTCTTGATTCAGTTTTGGGAGGTTGTGTGATTCTAAGAATTTATCCATTTCTTCTAGATTGTCAAGTTTATTGGCATATACCTTTTCATAGTATTCTCTTATAATCCTTTGTATTTCTGAGGTGTCCATTGTAATTTCTCCTCTTTCATTTCTGGTTTTATTTATTTGAGTCTTCTCTCTTTTTTTCTTAGTGAGTCTGGCTAAGGGGTTATCAATTTTGTTTATCTTCTTAAAGAACCAGCTCCTTGTTTCATTGATCTTTTCTATTGTTTGTTTAGTCTCTATTTTGTTTATATCTACTCTGATTTTAATTATTTCCTTCCTTCTACTGACTTTGGGCTTTGTTTGTTCTTCTTTTTCTAGTTCTTTTAAGTATAATATAAGCTTGTTTATTGAGATTTTTCTTTCTGTCGTCTTTTTTTTTTTTTGTGGCTAATTAACCCTAAGCTAACAGCTGCCGCCAATCCTCCTCTTTTTGCTGAGGAAGACTGGCCCTGAGGTAACATCTGTGCCCATCTTCCTCTACTTTATATGTGGGACACCTGCTACAGCATGGCCTAACAAGCAGGGCATAGGTCCACACCTGGGATCCAAACCAGTGAACCCTGGGCCACTGAAATGGAACATGTGAACTTAAATGCTGTGCCACCAGGCTGGCCTGAGATTTTTCTTATTTCTTGAGGGAGGTCTGTATTGCTATAAATTTCCCTCTTAGTACTGCTTTTGCTGCATCCTAGTCATTTTAGTATGTTGTGTTTTTGTTTTCATTTGTATCCAGATATTTTTTTATTTCTCCTTTGATTTCTTCATTGATCCAATAGTTTTTCAGTGGTGTGTTGTTTAATCTCCACATATTTATGATTTTCCCAGCTTTTTTCTTTTTGTTGATTTCTAGTTTCATAGCATTGTGGTTGGAAAAGATGCTTGATATGATTTCAATGTTTTAAAATTTATTAAGGCTTGCTTTGTTTCCCAACATATGGTCTATTTTGAGACTGTTCCATGTGCACTGAGAAGAGCATATATTCTGCTGTTTTTGGATGGAATGTTCTATATTATCTATTAAGTCCATCTGGCCTAGTGTTTTATTTAAGGCCACTGTTTCCTTGTTTACTTTCTGTCTGGATGATCTATCCATTGACATAAGTGGGGCATTAAGGTCCCCAACTATTATTGTGTTACTGTCAATTTCTCCTTTTAGGTCTGTTAGTAGTTTCTCTATATACTTTGGTGCTCCTGTATTTGGCACATATATGTTAATAAGTATTATGTGGTATTGGTAGCATTTCCCCTTTGTCATTATATAATGCTGATCTTTGTCTCTTGTTATCTTTTTTGTCTTGACGTCTGCTTTGTCTGGTATAAGTATGGCCACACTCACTTTCTTTTGCTTGCCATTAGCTTGGAGTATCATCTTCCATCCCTTCACTCTGAGCCTATTTTGTCTTTAGAGCTGAGATGTGTTTCCTGGAGGTAGCATATTTTTGGGTCTCATTTTTTAATCCATCCAGCCACTATGTGTCTTTTGACTGCTGAATTTAATCCATTTACATTTAGAGTGATTATTGATGCATGAGGACATAACACTGCCATTTTATCTTTTGTTTTCTGGTGTTCTATATTTCCACTGTTTCTTTTTCCTTGTATTTCTGTCTGCCCTTTCAGTTTGGTGGTCTTCTGTGATGGTTTTCTCTTTATTTGTGATTTGTGACTCTGCTCTGATTTTTTGTTTTGTAGTTACCATGAGGTTCATATAAAAGATTTCATAGATGAGATAGTCTTTTCTGATAGCCTCTTATCTCCATTAGCCTCTTCAGTTCCATCCTTTTCTCTTCCCCTTCTATGTTTTTGTTGTCACAAATTATTCTTTTCTGTGTTGGAGAAAATTGAAGTGTTTATAGTTATTTTTAATGCTTTTCTTCCCTTTATCCTTTATGTTATAATTAAGGGTTTGTTAGGGGCTGGCCCTGTGGCCTAGTGGTTGGGTTCGTGTGGTCCGCTTCAGTGGCCCAGGGTTTCACTCGTTCGGATCCTTGGCACGGACACAGCACCGCTCATCAGGCCGTGCTGAGGTGGCGCCCCACATGCTACAACTAGAAGGACCCACAACTAAAATATACAACTATGTACTGGGGGGATTTGGGGAGAAAAAACAAAAAGAAGATTGGCAACAGTTGTTAGCTCAGGTGCCAATCTTTAAAAAAAAAAAAAAAAAGACCTTTGGGGGGAAAAGAAGGGTTTGCTAACCTGTTCAGATAGAGACCTGTAATTTTCTGATTTTGTCTGTCTATTCATTTCCCTGCTCTGAGCTCTGTAAACCTTTGCCTTTTTGTTTCAGGTAGGAGGGCTCCCTTCATCATTTCTTGGAAGGTGGGTCTAGTGGCGATGAGCTCCCTCAGCCTCTGTTTGTCTGGGAAAGCCTTTATTCCTCCATCATTTCTGAAGGATAATTTTGCTGGATAGAGGATTCTTGCCAGATAGTTTTTGTCTTTCAGTATTTTGAGTGTATCATTCCACTCTCTCCTAGCCTGTAAGGTTTCTGCAGAGAAATCTGCTGAAAGCCTGATGGGGATCCCTTTGTAGGTTATTTTCTTCTCTCTTACTGGCCTTAATATTTTCTCTTTGTCATTGACTTTTGACAGTTTTAATATTCTATGCCTTGGAGAAGGTCTTTTGTATTGATGTAATTAGGAGTTCTGTTAGCTTAATGTACTTGCATGTCTGTTTTTTTCCCCAGGTTTGGGAAGTCCTCAGCTATTATTTCTTTGAATAAACTCACAGCTCCTTTCTCCCTCTGCAATACCTGTAATCCTTATGTTACTTTTCCTAATTGTCTCATATTTCTCCCAGAATTTCTTCATTTTTAAAATCTTAGTTCTCTCTCCTCCTATGCCTGAATCATTCCTAGGTTTCTGTCCTCCAGCTCATCAATTCTCTCCTCCATAAGGTCTGCTCTATTTTTAATGCTTTCTACATTATTTTTTTTAATTTCATTAATTGTGTTCTTCATATCTAGAATTTCTGTTTGACATTTCTTTAAAGCTTCAGTCTCTTTGGCGAAGCGTTCCTTCTGTTCATTAATTTTATTCCTGAGCTCCCTGAACTGTCTTTCTGAGTTTTCTTTTAACTCATAGAACTTCTTCATGACAGCTTTTTTGAATTTTCTGTCAGTTATACTGTAGTCTTCTGTGACTTCAGGTTTGGTTCCTGGAGAGTTGTCATTCTCTCTGTTCTGCCGTGTTGCTAGAGTTCTTCATGGCACTTGAACTGATCCTCTGCCGGCGCATCTGTGGGAGTAAACACCTTTCTTATTTGGGTGAGGCTCTGGTTACTTTGGTTCTGAGCTGCTTCTGGTTGTATGTGAGAGCCTGCACTTTTCACCCTCCACTGCCTCTGCCAGAGGGGTCATCCCTGCCCTCCTTGTACTGCTTGTGCCTCTGGGGTTGCTGGGGCCTTTCTGCTTAAGATGTTGCTGCAGTCTCAGGTGTCACCACCAGGGTCACCAGGCTGTGAGCACTTCTGCTGCATCCAGGGTCGCTTGGGTCTTGTGCTTGTGTTCCTCCACTGGCTCTCTATGGGTTCAGATGCTGCTGTCACCTGCTCCACCTGTGCTGCTGCTTCTGGGTTATCCGGGGGTGCTGGTTGCACTGCTGCCAGGGGTGCTGGGTTCATGGGTGTCACTGTTGCTAGTGGTGTCCTGGGGACTTGTATGCAGCCCCTGCTGCTAGTGGAGCTGGTGTCAGGGATGCATCTACTGGGGGCTGGGTCACCAGTTCTGCTGTGGTTCCTGACCCTTCTGGTCTCAGGTTCCACCTGCCACTGCTAGGCGGGGGGGAGTAGGGGCTGTTTTTTCTGCCCCTGCCCTGTCTTCTCACACTGGTACATGTCTGGCCACTGCTGCTGCTGCTCTGCCAGCCATTGTGTGCAAGCTGGGCCACCCTTGCCTCCACTCACAATCATGAAGGCCACTGCATGAGGTTCCGGACCCTGGATTGCTGCCACTTGGGGAAGGGGAAGGGGTGCTCCCCTAGTTCCAGTGCTTCCTAGGGGTCCAGTCCACCCACCTTCAGATGGATAGCTGCATGGATCTCTTAGGCGTCCTGTTGTGCTGTATAGGGAATCCTTTGTTGGTCAAAGGATGTCCATTTGATTGTAACTTAGCAGGAAGAAACAAAGGGAACAACTCACTCCACCATGAAGCTGATGTCACCCTCCAATAAGGACTTTTAAAAACACATGAGCATGATTCTAGGACCACACCTACCCAAAAAATGAAGATGTCTTTAATCAAACACACAGTCAGTCTTCACATTTTCCCCATTGCAGTTGGTCTCAGCATCCTAATTGGCCACCTGGGCACCAGCAGCTCAAAGTATCCAGATAACATCCACGCCCTCCACCCACTGATGTGTCGTCAAGCCTCTTAAGCCCCAGGCTTCTCCTCCATCCCCTCATCGCCCTCTTGACTCTTGTTCTTGGCGCCTTGCCCTGTGGAGTGGCCCACAGCCTGGAGTCAGCAGCTTGCACCATGGAGTGTCACTGACTGTGTTCCCTGCCCTCTCTAGCTCCTGCCACTGGGTGGTTGGCTCCAGATGCTTCATCAGCTTCAAGTGTCATTTTTGGTTTTGGCAAGACCACTTCATAAAGTGATTGAGGGTTTTTCTTTTTAAGTATAATTACAGCTTTGTGGATTTAAGCATTTTTTTGTGTTCAAGTTCATTGAAATTCTTCTCCTTATTGATATTCAAATCATCCCACCTTTGGCCCAAGGGGTGAACTTGAATCTTGAATTGACTCCCGAGCCCCTCTGACGTTGGCCAACAGCTGTGATCCGCTTTGTTCTCTGGTGTGACAAGCTATTCCAGGCTCGTCTTATATGTTTCCCAACCCAGACCGGGAAGCATCCTCTTCTCTCAGGAGCCCTCTTCCCCTTCCGAGAAATGGTATGTAGAGACCACGGTCTGGATGGTAGGCGTGCTTATTTTTAGGCCTTGTTGGTGGAGAGAACTTAGATTTCTTTTTAAGCTAAGACACAGTACAAGTACATACTGACACTTTTCACTCAAATTCAGATCTATGTGGTTTTTACTTGAGCTGATTGATAATACGTCTGCATCTCCTCTCCCCTACACCAGAAATCTCAACAGTGCCCAACGTAATTATTCATTTGTTTTATCCCGTAACTCAATAATCTCAAAATAACAATACCAACACTATCATCAGTGTCATGATTACTGGAAACAGTTTAAGATGTTTTTATGTACTTTTAAAATCCTAGGGTTATATAGGTGTACAGACAAAACTTTTAAAATTATTTGGAAAATGTTTACAGAAAATGAAACACTTTTGCCATTCTTTTTGTGCCCAAGCTATCCAGATCTACAGTCAAAATCCTGGATTTTAAAATCACTTTGAAGAGTTGGTAGGTTTATGCTACCGACTGATGATGCAAGTTAATTAGTTTCATCTTGCTTTCAAATTTAAGAACTCTTTTCAAATGTAACTTAATTTAATTTAATTTAGTAATTATGTAAATATTTACGTTGGTTCTAAAGCCAAATCTACAAACCAAGGTATATTCACAGAAGTCTCATTTCTGTCCCTGTCTCCCTTCACCTCCTTTCCACGTGTTCCCTATAGGTAGCAATTTAATTTAAAACAAATTTTATGGCTTATCCTTCCATTTGTGAAAATATAAGCTGCTGGCCCTACATAAATAGATAAGCATCAATAGCCTTTTGTTCACTTAGCGATATGTCCTGGAGACAGCCACGCAGTAGTGTATAGAGATATTTCTCCTTCCTTTTGATGCCCGCTCAGCGCTCCATGGTGTGGGTGGACATACTTCATGCAACCAGAGCTCTATGGAGAGATGCCTGAGTGGTTTCCAGGCTGGTGCTCCTCAACCGTGCTCCGAGGAAGAGCCCGTCAAGCATCTGTCCGAGTTCTACCCAGCTGTGTGTGGAATAGATCCCTAGAGGTGGGATTACTGGGTCGAAGAGCAGTGCGGCTCTAACCTTGCTGGATATTGCCAAATCCCCTCCACGGGGGTTCGGACCATGTTAAATGTCAACAGGTAACATCTGAGGATGTCGTCCCCCCCAGATAGTTGTCAAACTCTTGGATTTTGCCCATCTGACAGGGGAGGAACGGTATTGCAATGGACTTTTAATTTGTCCTTTTCTTGTTAGGAGTACATTGAGGGTCTGTTGTGTGCCGGTCTCAGCCTGTCAATAACAAGTGTTATGGCTAGACCAGCCTTTGAAGTTCTTATTATGATTGCAAGACGCCCTTCAGCAATAACCATCAGGAAACTTTTAAAAAGTAAAGGCTTATTACGTACAGGCCCTGGAAATTACACAGCACACCTGGGGCCACACAGCAAGCTCGCAGGGAGAGAGACAGCATAGGCCTGGGTTTCTGCTCTTAAATTGGGGTCAAGTGTGGGGGTCTAGGGTTTTCAGGGCTCACTCTTTACTGGCGAATTTAAAACAGAGAGTGGAAATTTAAAGCACGGAAAGAGAAAAAAAACCCCAGCGGTCAGTTATGGAAATCAAGCAAGACCTCTAAAACAAGGTCGGGGTGGGGGCTGGCTCTTTCTCGTGTGGGTGGCAAAGAGCATATTTGAGGTGGCCATCTTTGTAACAGATGCCTCAGCACTTGCATTACAAAAAGAAAAGCCAACTGTCAGGGTGACGCGACAGCATCTTTTCGTATCTTTAAGGATCCGTTTTACATTTCCTGTTCTGTGAGCTCTTTGTCCCATCTCTATCAGTTGGCATCTTGCCCAGCCTCCAGAAAAAGTGTCTCAGAAGGCTGGGGGTCCAGGGAGGCTTAAGGGGAGGACCCTCAGCAGAGTGTTTCTCAAGGGCAGTGAGCACCTGCTGCCTCAGTGTCTCTTGGGGCACAGGTTAAATGCCCCACTTCTTGGACCCAACCTGGACCGACTGGTTCAAACCAGCCAAGGCTGAAGGCCCACTGCCCTGGGGGCCGGGATGGGCAGACTCGCTCTTCTGCTCTGTTACTGGACCCTCACGGTTGACTTTGAAGCCAGGCAAGATGCGCTCTGCCCCTCAGCCTCCTCGGCCAAGGTCCCTGCTCAAGAGCAGGGCCACAGGAGCCCCAGCAGGTGCTTGAGGCTGCCGTGGAGCGGGGCTGGGGTGAGACCGCCTGGCGGAGGGAGGAGCAGCCTGCAGTCAGAGTCTGAGGTGGAGAAAGGGGAAGGAGGCCTGCAGGGCAGAGGAGCACTCAGAGGACAGCTGCGGGAAAGGAGGCTGCCTGGAGCAGGAACCAGCGGCCCAGCACCGCCACCGCCAGCGTCCCAGAGTGGCTGCGTGAAGCAGGGAACAGGCGGCGGAGGGAGCTGTCGGGTGAGCAAGTGCCCGCTGGAGGAGGGGCTGTCCAAGGGGACAGAGTGGGCAGGAGAGGGCACGGAGGGGCACTGTGGCTGGGGTGGGACTCTGGGGGGGTGGGGCTGGGACCAGGGCAGGCAGCCCCGAGTTCCCCCTCAGCCCCTCTGCCCCCATGCTGCCCACCCTGCCACGTGACCAGGACACCACAGGCGGGAACTGCCAAACTAGCAGAGCCTTGGGACCCCCTCAGGACCCCCTCAGGGCCTCTCATGCCCTCTACATAACCTTTTCATGACCTCTCATGACCTTTTCGTGTCCCCTCCTGACCAGTGGACCCAAACCAAGCCACTTTGTCCCCCATCCCTAGGCACAGCCAGCCCCTGAGGGTGTGCTGCTGGGAGGATCCCTCAACCCTGGCCCCTCCTGCCCCCCACTCTTATCCTCAGCAGCACCCTCCACGCTCAGTCATATTTGCTGAATGCATGCATGCATGATTGAATGAATGAATGAATGGGTAAGTGAGCAGTGTGGGGCCTCAGAGGCACAGAGTGACTTTCGTGTAGGGGAATAGGCAGGAAGGAGCCCGGCCTCAGGCTGGCAGGTTTTCAGGGGAGGGAAGTGGCAGCTGCAAGGGCAGGGGACTGGAAGAATTCCCAGAGGAGGGACCCTGGTGGCCCCAGGGTGCTTGAATGGCAGGGGATTTGGAGCTGTGCCAGGTGGGTGGTGGGCAGGTGGGTCTCCTGCAGCCTGGGGTCAGGGCATTTCTCGAAGGAGGCTCTGTCCCTGTGTGTCCCTCAGAGACGACAGAGACACTGGCCGCTGCCCCGCCCAGTCTCCCTCCCCCACCCCACAAGGAGGAGGCCTCCGTCTGCCCTGCACCCCAAACCACTTCCCGTGGTGTGATCGTCCCTCTGCCATGGCCTGAGCGTGGCACCCCGGTGGCCTACTTAGTCCACAGCGTGAAGTCACAGGCCACGAGGGAGTGCTCGGGCACGGGCAGAGCAGCTGGGGCTGGCGCGAGCACGGAGCAAGTCACGGGTTGGGGAGACCTCAAGCCAACGATCTGGACTCTCAGCGCCAGCCCCTCTCCCACTACGTGTCCCCTTGCTGACCACAACCTCGTCTGCCCGTGTAACTAATGGGCCTCACCCTTCTCAGACCCTGCCACGGCCGCACTGCTCTTTCTCTGGGTTGATGAACTTTTCATTGTGGAAAGTTGCAGGTGCACGGTGAAGTAGAGGGTCTCGTGCAGAGACACGCAGGTCCCAGCCCAGCCCACAGGGATCAGCCCCCACGCCCACCCCGTCCAAGTCTTCCCAGGGAATCCCAGACACGCTGTCAGCTCAGGCCACGACGCTTGAGTGTGTATTTCTGGCAGACAAGGGCTTTGTAAAGTCCCACCACAGCGCCGTCGTCCCGCCCGGGGAGAGGCTAGTTCTTTCTGTCATCCCCTCGCCGCTGGTAGGCTCATGGAGAAGACCTCCCCCAGGAAGCTGGTCCCAACTGGGGTCCAAACAGGGCCAGCACATCTGTCCAAATGAGGCCTGCACATCTGGATGCGGCTCTCTCACTGCGGCTCCCGCAGTGCGGCCCGTGCTCGGGGAGGCAGGCACAGGGGGCTGCTTCTGCTCTGGCTCTGCAGCTCGGCCTGGGCTCAGTTAACTGCCCTCAGCAGGGGACAGACTTGCAAGGGGACAAAGGGAGCGAGGCCCCAAGGGCCACAGACCCAGCCAGCAGAGGGCTCCCTGGAGGAGGGGAGAGGGCCAGCGGGCAGCGCTGCCGGGGAAGAGGTCACCATCCTGGCTCTCCCTCAGGGAGACCAGGCAGGTCTGAATGCTAAGGGAAGACCCCAGGATCAGGGGACGCTGGGAGAGAAGCAGCCTTGCTAGTGGGAGACAGTGCCTGGGGAGGGGGCGGCAGGGGCTCAGGTTTGGGGTGGAGTTCGAGGATGTTTCCTTCGGATGGAGCCTCATTTTCCTGTGAGGTGGGAGGCACAATGGCCAGCCTGAGAGTAAGCAGGAGCTGGTGTGGCATGAGGAGCCTGGAGGAGGCTGGAAGGGGCTGTGAGAGCAGGAGAGCGGGGCCAGGAGCCAGCCAAGGAGGGCCGAATGGGACTCGCCCCACGCCTCCATCCGCCCTCCCCGCAGTGGTGTCCCCATTCCCCCTCCCCCCATTTCCCCTCCCAAAGTGGGAGGGGGAGGGGTGTTTCCCATACCTCATTTCTTCGAAGAGGGGAACAGAAAGTGCTGGTAGCAACAGAAGGTCACATCCTCTCTGCTCAGCGGCATGGGGATACAAGGCCCATAGCCGAGCCCAGGGCCCGGAGGCCTTGTGGTTCCAGGAATGCCCTTGGTCCTGGTCCCCTCCAGGCTCCCAGATAGGGCAGGGGCCAGGGTGACGCAGGTGAGGCACTGGTCTTGGGCACAACATCCAAGGGGCCGCCAAAAACTCAGTCATCAAGATCGCCCGTCCTCCAGCGCGGTATTCCAGCACATGGAAGCTAATGCGGAAATCCGCGTGAACAAAGCATCAACAGCGTGGAGACAGGCGGGGGTGGGACCACCATTCTTTTGCCTCAGGCTCCCACGTGGCCCTGGGGGGCAGTTCCTGGAGGACCCGCCTCCATCAGGCTCTGAAGGCCACCACAGTGGCGAGACTGGTGGTGAGACTGGCGGGGGGGTGGGGGGGGACACTCTGCTGCGCTCCCCTCTGCCCACACAGATGGTCACATCTCCGTGCAGACAGCCAAGCCGCCCTCCCCCACCGGCCAGCTGTTGCCGGCAGAGCGCTGGGCTGGAGATTGTGAAAGAGGAGCCGTCAGCGTCAGCGCAGTCTCCCTTCCCCGCTCGCTCCACTCCCAGGCCAGCTCCAGGTTCCCAGGCCACAGGCTTGCCTTCTTTGGGCCTTGCTCATGCCCTTCCATCATCCAAGAAGCTGCTCCCATCTCTGCCTCCTCACACCTTCCAGGCCCAGCTCAAGTGCCACCTCCTCCAAGAAGCCTCGCCATCTGTGAACCCCCACGGGTTCCCGTCAGGCGCTGGTACGGTTTGGCATGGCATATCCCGTGTGAGTGCATGCTCCCTCTGTGCGAGGGACCCCCCTGGGCGGTCCCTGTCTCCTGCCATGTCCAGCGCGTGCCCACACATGAGGTGGCAAGGACGAGCAGGAATAGGGAGCAGACCAGAGCACAGAGTGAGGTCAGAGTGGATGCAGAGTTTAGCCCGGGGAGGAGAGCCCAGGTGCGGTGCCTCTAGGGACCCCTTACCTGGGTGTCTTCAGTGTCCTTTGGCCTCTTCCAAGGCTGGGGTCCTGAATCCACCCCTCAGGGCTTTGTTTCCTCATGGCACCCAGGCGGGCGTGGGGGGCACTGCCACCCAGATGAGGGGGCTCGGGGTGGGGAGCAGGAGCTCCCGGCGTCCGCAGGGTGTCCTGGGCTGCTCTCTGGGCCGCCTCCTCTGGGGTGACTCAGCCTCCCCTGGCGCACTTCCCATGAAGGTTTATGGAGATGGGGCAGTGATGCATATCTCACTCGCCAGCAGCCCTTTTCTTTCCAACCCAGCTATTCGGAGGGGTGGTGGCCAGGAGGAAGGGGCAAGGAGAATCCTCTTCAGACCAGTGCCCAGACCCCCGCCGTACACAGGAGCAGCAGGTGTGAAGCAGGAGAGGGCAGTGGGACCGCAGCAGGGCGTGGCTGGCACGGGAGGGGGGCCTCAAAGATGGAGGGCTGCCCAAGCGGAGGCCGGCAGAGTCCCCCTCCGCAGAGGGTTGTGACTAGGGTTTTGAGGCTGCCCCATAGCAAGAATGGGCCTGGTCGGGAACCTGAAGCCTGCCCAGCGTGGCCCAGCCTCTGGGACCCTGGGCATCCCGTGGGCCTTGAGGAAGGGACCCGGCCCTGCCCTGAGCAGCCCCCATCCCTCCACTGGGAGCCAGCCGGCAGTGTGGCCAGTAGAGGGGGGGGTTCACGGAGGCCGATGCCCCATCCCACCCAGGCAGAGCGTTTCTGAGCCTGCGGCCCTAATGTTTAATGACTATGGAGCGTCTGCTGGGAGCCCAGAATCCTGTTCATTCTCTGGGGCCGGAATCTCCCATCAGGGCTGCCTCCAACTGGTTCACACACTTTATTGAGGCCCTACAGTGTGCCAGGCCGTGACACAGCCCAGAGCAGGCAGGGTCCTGGCCACACGCGAAAACTAAGTACACAAGAAGAGCTATTTTAATTCATGAGAAGTTCTGTGAAGAAACCAGACAGGGTAGGGCACTAGAGATGGGTGCAGAGGAGCCAGGAGGCGGGCTGGACGGAGATGGAGCGGGGGAGGCAGGGGAGGAGCCGGCCATGGGACCCCCTCCAGGCCTGGATCTGGAGGGCTGTGCCTGGGTCTGCTGTGGAGGAGAACGGTGGAGGCCAGGCCCCTCCTCAGGGGCCTCTGGGCAGGGAGACCTGGTCCCAGGTCAGAAAGCCTGGGCCAGCCACTCCCCTTCTCTGGGCTTCAGTTTCCACCTCTGTAAATGGACAGAGGTGGGATGGGATCTCTCCTGACCCCTCGCGGTCTCCAGGAAGAGATGCTGTAGTCAGGTGCTGTGGGGTCCCTGCCCTCAGGGTGCATAGGGCTGGGGTGGTCTGCAGGAAGGGCGTTGGAAACCCCGTTGAGCAGGTTCTCCCAGCCTGAGCTCAGAGCGAAGAGGCTAGCCACAGAGAATGCCCCATGAAGGCCTGGAGGAGTCGGGACGGGGGTGGGGGGGCGTGGAGAACATTCTAGACTGGATGATGGAGGGGTGGTCTGGAAAGAAGGCTTGAGGAGGGGCAGCTGGTGGAGGCAGAGCCAGCGGGCTACAGTGGAGTGGCAGGAAGTCGATCCGTCTGGGTTTTGATTGCTGGCCGCTGGCCACGTGAGTGGGTGCATCCACAGATGTTGGCGGGTCACCCCAGCAGCATTGGTGTGTGTGAGGGCGCGTAGCACAGTGAGCGTGAGGCCTCCCTTCCAGGATGCTGGGCGCAGGCGCAGGGGACCCGACCCCCCTGCTGTGGGGAAGGCCCAGCGCTTCCCACAGATGACGGTGGAGACGGCTGGGGAAGTGGTCTAGGCCTGCCCTCTCAGGTTTCCTGACAAACGCTCTGTCTTAGTAAGCAGGCTGGCTGTCTGGAGGTACTGACACAGGTGGCCGCTGGCCGCCCACTTCCCATGCCAGAAATTTGCCCCAGCAGCCCTGGGTTGGACTGGCATGGGCAGCAGAGAGCCCATCACCCCACCCTGCTGTCGTCAGCACGCCCGCCACCTGCTGCCTTAAGGAGTCCCCCGGCCTAGGGGCTGGCCCTCCCCAGCTCTGCTTCCCCATCGCTCTCTAGGCAGTCCCTGCACCGGCTTCCAGCTCAGAGGCAGACGGCTGAGCCAGGGAAACCCAGGCTGACGGCAGGTCAGTGCCAACCGTGGGCCCAGGGGTCTCTGAGCTGGCTGAGGGTGTGATGGGGGGTCTCAGAGCGGGCTGAGGGTGTGATGGGGGCTCTCAGAGTGGGCTGAGGGTGTGATGGGGGGTCTCAGAGCGGGCTGAGGGTGTGATGGGGGCTCTCAGAGTGGGCTGAGGGTGTGATGGGGGTCTCAGAGCGGGCTGAGGGTGTGATGGGGGCTCTCAGAGTGGGCTGAGGGTGTGATGGGGGGTCTCAGAGCGGGCTGAGGGTGTGATGGGGGCTCTCAGAGTGGGCTGAGGGTGTGATGGGGGGTCTCAGAGCGGGCTGAGGGTGTGATGGGGGCTCTCAGAGTGGGCTGAGGGTGTGATGGGGGTCTCAGAGCGGGCTGAGGGTGTGATGGGGGCTCTCAGAGTGGGCTGAGGGTGTGATGGGGGGTCTCAGAGCGGGGTGAGAGCTGTGATGGGGGATCTCAGAGTGGGGTGAGAGCTGTGATGGGGGGTCTCAGAGCGGGGTGAGAGCTGTGATGGGGGATCTCAGAGTGGGGTGAGAACTGTGATGGGGGTCTCAGAGCGGGGTGAGAGCTGTGATGGGGGGGTCTCAGAGTGGGGTGAGGGCTGTGATGGGAGCCTCAGAGCGGAGTGAGGGTGTGATGGTGTATCTAAGAGTAGGGTGATACTGTGATGTGATCTCAGAGCAGGGTGAGTGTTGCGGTGGGGGTGTCTAAGAGTGGGGTGAGAATGTGCGGCGGCTTGGGACCTTGGGGGAGCGTCCTGATAGAGGAGCTCTGTGGGGGGTGGTTGTCTGGAAAGGGGGGCCCTCCTCCATGAGCATGGGGGGATGAGTGTGTGCAGCGTTACAGAGGAAATCCGGTGTCTCCCGCGGCCTGGACTCCCACCTCATTTGAGACTCTGAATCAACTTGGTGGGTGGTGATTGGCATTTAAAAAGCTGGCCTGGAAAGTGCCTGAGCTCCGTGTGCCTAATGCCAGGAGTTCTGTTTGGTGAAACGTGTTTCACACTCACCCGGCCTGGAGCCTCGGGTGTTTCTAATGTGGGGTCCAGGCTCCAGACACCTCTACGGCGCCCAGGCAATGGGGGTCTGTGCCCACTCTCTGTCCAAAATCCTACTCAGAGGGGCTGCAGGATCCTGGGGGGCCAGCAGGGCTGTCCAGACAGCAGGAGGGCTCGGGAGGAGGCTGGGGTGTGCTCAGGCCTCCAAAAATGCAACCACAGATTTCTCTCCTAGTGGTTGTGAAGATATCTCAGTGCAGATCAAGGGCAGCTGTCTACTCCCCGTGTGGGGAGCCAACTGATCTCACCCTGGAGGAAGAAGCGGCGCCCCAGAGGTGCTGCTGTGTCGTCTCCCCCTACGACAGCCGCCCCCAGCAGGAAATGGGGGGTGCCCTGGAAGCTGAGCACTCTGAGCACTTGCTGTACTGTGGGGGGCCCGGGCTACCCCAGGGTGATAGCCGCAGGGTGTCTGTTGGAGGTGACGGGCCTGCATATCTGAGCAGCAGGCCAGCTGTGGCCCCTGTCCTGATGGTGGGCGCAGGCAGGGACTCGTGCTGGCTGCAATGGCTTCCAGGGATCCCGCACCATTTGGGCTGAACCCTGGGCCTCGCCTTCCCAAGCTTTTTTGGGGGTCACCCCAAAGGACAGAGATGAGGGCCCCAGGAGCAGGGCACATCTTCCAAGTTTCATTGTGCACCCAAATTCTTGCAAAATTTGTGTCCTTCTCCCTGACAGTTAGTTTACTATAAAAGGGAAAATTTAAAGACTGCAATTAGACTTTTTCACTTTCCCCCACAAACTACTGGGCATGTATGACGAGGGACCCCTGTTCAGCCATCCAGGGTGGTGGGCGTCAGAGGTGGTGGCCAGGCCCACCTCCCTGGCCAGAAGTGCCCTGGGCTGCGGGTAGTCTGGAAGGGGCAGCCATTGTCCACGGCTGCAGGCACCACTGGCCGGAGTAGTGAGGGGCTGGACGTAGGCCTGGCTCAGGTAGGGAGACAGGGGACAATGCCGATGACACAGAGGACCCCCTGCAGCGGCTGTCCCCACAGAATCTCGGGACAGTCCCAGCAGGTCCTGAGGGTTCTGGGCTGGTGCGGGGACCACACAGGGCGGGTCTGGCAGGTTGCAGGTGTTTCCCGGGGGGCCTGTGGCCGTGTCAGGAGGGCAGGGCGGACGGGAAGGGAAGAGCCAGCCGTTGGTTTCAGCAGGTTCTGAGGGGGTCTGCGGAGCCTGGCCGGGCTCATGGTCTATGAGGCCTCAGAGCCTGGGCAGAGGGAGGGGTCACTCACAGAACGGGGAGAGAACAAGCAGAATCTTTCAAAAACAAAGAGAGAGAATCCTGAGGGGTGTGTAGACATTTCCCACCACGGAAAGCATTCGTGAAGCTCTAATTGCTGGCAAATGAGCCATTAAAACTCACAAGAGCTGGGATGGGATGATTTGGTGGAATATTCCTGTTTCTGGCTGAAGCGGGCACTCCTGCTTCCCTGATGGACTGTGGCCTGGAGGTTCCCAGGGGGCCGCTGCTGAGGAAATGAGCCTAATGACTCTGCAAGAGCTTGGTTCTGGATATTTCTTCCCTTCCTGTGTGGGGAAGGGGCAGGGGGAGCAGAAGCAGAGAGGCCTGGCTCTGAGCCCTCCTCGGTGGACTGAGCCCCCTTCCGAATCACACCTAAGGGACGGGGAGTCCCCAGAGTGCCCGGCACTCACTGGGGGAGGCAGGGCACTCCCACTCACCCCTCCAGGCCCCTCCAGCCAGAGGAACCAAAGTCGGGGCATGGGGCGTGTGACAGGTACGTGCCCTGTGCCAGACGCTTGGCCTGCTGGCCACTCATGCAATGCTCCTGATTCCACATGTGTCACACCAGCACCCCCTTATGATGACAAAACCCAGGTTTGCCCAGCACATCATGTGCCACACCCTGGACGTCAGACCCCTGACCACGTCCACCCCGGCCCTGGCAGGCTTGTCCCAGCCCTCCTGGGCTGTGTCATGGAGCACGTCCAGGGGAGTAAGAGAGTGGCATTGACGGTGGAGGGCGAGGCCATGCAGGCGCTCCTGATGATGACAGGGTGGAGGACACCCAGTGCCACCCTGAGGCCAGCTCTGAGCCTCTGGTCTGGGCCTGGAGGGCCAGGGCTGCCCTCGTGGCTCTGCACAGGGAGCTCAAGGGGGCACTCCTGACCCCAGATGGGACTTGGGATGGGGCCTCAGGCAAGTCCAAGTGGGACCTCAGGGCACGGGACAGGGGTAGGCGGGCACTGGGAGGGAGGGAGGGAGAGAGGGTGGTGCCTGGGGAGGTCCCTTCAGGCCACTGTTCCCTCAGGAAGAGGATGATGGGCAACTCTCAGCACAGGAAGGAGGGAGGGAAGGAGGGAGGAGGGAGACCAGAGTTCTGGAGTCTTCTGGGAAGCAGCCCTGAGCCACAGCCTCTGCTGTCCTGGACCTCTGCTGCCAGAAACAACCAGGTAGGGTAGCTGCTGACCACCCTGCTGAGGTGCAGTTGTGGGTCAAGAGCAGGTGCCTCTGGCAGCCAGGTGTGCGGAGGGGTGGAGGGGCAGTGGGCCGCCCTGGCTCTGACCGGAGAGCTGGCGGACTGAGAGGCCCCTCGGGATCCCAGAGCTGACAGTCAGCTGGGCTGGGCCTGGAGGTGGCCAGTGAGCTCCTCCTGCCTTCCTTCCTGCCCAGCAGCAGGGCTGGAGAGAGGGAAAGGGGATCTGGTTCCAGCCCTGGGCTGGCTCCCTGTGCAAACTTGGGCCTGCTCAGCCTCTTACGGCCTCAGTTTCCCCACCTGTCGGGTGGGCGGGGGTTTGGACTGGAGGGTGCCTCGGAGCTCCTTAAGATTGCTATGATTTCTTTGGGAAGATGAGTTTGGGGCTTCTGGATGTGGGGTGAAGGCTCACCTCCTGCACCCCCGGCCAGAGATGGGCGGGGCCTTGCCAGCCCCAGGGCACCCCGGTCCCTGCCTGCCCTCCTCACCCCTGCTCCCCTCCTGCAGCCCCAGGACCATGAACAACAGCAACTGTAGCTCCAACGGGCTCACCTGGCCCCCGGCGGTTATGAGCATCTTCTACACCTACACGGGCGTGGTGCTGGTGCTGGGCCTGCTGCTCAACAGCCTGGCGCTCTGGGTGCTGTGCTGCCGCATGCAGCAGTGGACGGAGACCCGCGTCTACATGGCCAACCTGGCCGTGGCCGACCTCTGCCTGCTCTGCACCCTGCCGTTCGTGCTGTACTCCCTGAAGCACAGCACCACCAAGGACACGCCGTTCTGCCAGCTCTCCCAGGGCATTTATCTGGCCAACAGGTACATGAGCATCAGCCTGATCATGGCCATCGCCGTGGACCGCTACCTGGCCGTGCGGCACCCAATGCGTGTCCGCGGGCTCCGCTCCCCGCGGCAGGCCATGGCCGTGTGCCTGGCGCTCTGGGTGCTGGTGGTTGGCTCCCTGGTGCTTCGCTGGATCCTGGGGATGCAGGAGGGCAGCTTCTGCTTCACCAGCCTCTCCAAGCAAAACTACAACACCGCGGTCTTCTCACTGCTGGGCTTCTACCCGCCGCTGGTTGTGCTGGTCTTCTGCTCTCTGCAGGTGGTGACCGCCCTGGGCCGGAGGCCGACCGCTGACTTGGGCCAGGTGGAGGCCAGCCGGAAGGCTGCCCGCATGGTTTGGGCGAACCTGGTTGTGTTTGTGGTCTGCTTCCTGCCCTTGCACGTGATGCTGACGGTGTACATGGCCACGAGTCCGCCCACCTGCGTCATCCGCCGGGCCCTCTACATCACCAGTAGGCTCTCGGACAGCAACTGCTGCCTGGACGCCATCTGCTACTACTACATGGCCAAGGAGTTCCAGGAGGCGTCGGCACTGCCCGGGCTCCCCACTGCCAAGGTCCACAAGAGCCAGGAGTCTCTGTGTGTGACCCTGGCCTAGGAGACAAGCCATGAGCACGGTGGGCCAGGTCCCGAGCTCTCCGGGAGGTGCTGCCTGCTGGGGGAACCTGTGCCCAGCAGCAAGGAGCCCCAGCATCAGCCCTGAACTTGCCGTGGGCTGTGGGCACTCTCCAGGAGACCCGGGAAGGGCAGGGATGACCCAGGCACAGATATTGGGGAGGTGACATCCCACCCCTGGGCTGCAAGAGGGATGGGGACAAGGGCAAGAGGAGAAGCCTGAGTAAGGCCACCACTCCCAGGGGCCCTGGGATGAGCTGCCCGCCTGCCGTGCCCAGAGCCTAGTGCATCTGGCCACTAGGGGGTGAGTGCCTGCTAAGTGCTTTGAGGCCTTGATGGCCAGCTTTCTGCGGCCGCCCCACCAGGGCTGGAATAAAGCACTCCACCAGGGCTGGCCCTGACAGGGCCGTGTGTGTGTGTGTGTGTGTGTGTGTGTCTGTGTGTGTGTGTGTCTGTGTGTGTGTGTGCCCCCCCAGTGCTCGCATGGTGGGAGGAGGGAGGGGGAGGAGCATCTTCCCAGATGAGTCTCTAGGGCTGTCCACTTGGGGGCTCTCCTGAGCCCTGCCACCTGCCTGTCGCCCCGCCCCACCCCCAGCCATCTGGAGGTCTGGTGGGGGCCATGTGCAGCTCCTGGGAGGGCCGTGCTAAAGGCCACATGCTGGTTTCCTCCTGCCACGCAGGGCCAGGACCCCTCGAGCCTCGTGGGGGCTGTGCAGCTGCACCAGGGTAGGGGTGTGGGGACAGTGAGGAGGTGGCCAGGGTCTGTCAAGGGAACATGTCCCCTCGTGCTTCCTTCAGAGAAGCTGGAGGCCCTGACCAGTGGAGGCAGGGGTTGGGTGCCCAGCAGGCGGAAGTGTGGGCACCCAGACTGGTTTGTGCTGCGCCCACCTCTCTGTGCCTCCCTGCCTGGGGCCAGGCATCCAAACTCAAGTTGGAACCAACAACTGGCGCATTCCAGAGGCCCCCTGTGGGTGCTGGTCCAAGGCAGCCTGGGCTCAAACCCAAGTCTGTCTCCTCCCACCCGTGTCTCCTCGGGCACCAACAACTGCCTTGCCCTCCCTCCCGGCTGTGTCACTGGAGTGAGAATGGCAGCAACGTCCTGGCAGGGCCGGCCTCATGGGTGTGGGGCTTATGCCCTGAGGGCCCCCGGCTCAGGGGAACCTCGCTCCAAAGGGTCCATACTCAGGGGGTCCATACTTGCGGGGATCCATGCTCGGGGGGGAGCCATGCTTGGGGGGGACCCCACTCAGGAGTGTCCACCCTCGGGAGGTCCGTGCTCCCTGTAGTGTGTTGCTGTCCTGTGCTGAGGCTCGGACTTTTGAAGGAGAGCTCACACCATCAATCCTGGGCCTGCCCACCACGGCGGAGGGCCTGAGGGGCTCCTGGGAGCTTGCTGCGGGTTGGCAGGTGGTTGAGCTGAGGGCCTGCATTCCTTGGGGGCTCTGGAGGCCTCACCTTCCCCTCAGTCAGGCGGCTCCCCTGGCCCGGGCAGCACCTGGGCCTCCCCAGGGCTTCTGCCCACTGCTGGAAGCAGCCCTGCCGCAGGCTTCTGGGAGGAGGGGGAACACAGAGCCCACGGGGAGCCCAGGGTGCAGGGGCGGGACAGGGGCAGGGGCCCAGCAGCCCGGTCCCCCCAGCACTGTCCCATCCTCTCCCTTCAGGGCACCCACCTTCAGCTGAGCCGGACCTTTCCAGCACTTTGATACTCTGTCACGGGCCAAAGTCAGGAATCACTGTGGCCAGTGTCCAGAGCCCCATCCTTTGCCTCATGCAGTGCCCAGGTCCTGGGGGTCTGCCCCACGCCCCTCCTCCACACTCCATCAGGGCTCACGCTGCCTGACCGTCTCGTACCCCTCCACCGCCCCCCCAACCCAGGGGAGCCCCCTAGATCCAGGCCCCAGACTGAGTGAGGATGCGGGCCTGAGAGCTGTAGGCTGACCCCTGGAGGCAGGCCTGCACTCTCTCCTCCCTCCAGCCCGCTCCCCTCCCCAGCCTTGGGACCCTCCTGTGCCCCCAGACACAGGCGCCTGCCCTGCAACCAGCCCCACCCCCTCACCCCGTCCACTCTCCCCACGACTGCAAACCCCTAACCCCATCCTGTCTCCCCACGACGCCCCACACACTTCACCCCCCACGACTCCCCACACCCCTCACCCCATCCAGTGCTCCCCACGTGTCTGCACTCCACTCTGGTCCTCCAGCCCCACCATCTGAAACGCCCTTCTGGGGGCATCGCCAAGCTGACAGTTTCCAGCCCTTCTACCACCCTGACGGTCCAGGATTTTCGTTTTCCAAGGGACCAAGGAGTCCACGGAATGATTCTCACCTTGGACTGACCAGTGGAGCCGGGCTGAGTGTAGACGTCTAGTCCTGATCTTGGCCAGAATGGGGATCCAGGGAGACAGACAGAATATGGCCTGGGACTCAGCTCCAACCGCCCCCGAGCACTGTGGGACAGAGAAGAGGGGGCACCCAGGTAACCAGTGTAGACCAACAATAGAAAAGAGCTTTAGACCAAAAGGTTAACTCTGGCCCAGTGGTAGTAGCTTCCTAGAGCTCTGTGTTAAGAGGGATTCTGAGGCTCCCTCTGGGCTCAGAGGTGCAGAGTGCTGTGAGCTCTGCACAGGTCAGGGCTGTCCTCACCGGGGTGGAGGAAGGGAGAGCAGCAGGAGGGGAGAGGCTGGCCCTCCTGGGAGCCTCCGCAGGGTCTCCTGATGAGGGTGCTGGTGGGCCCGGTGGTGGAGGAAGCCCCCAGCTCTCCAAGGACCCTCCGGCCTCCTGAAGGATGCACAGACTCCAGGGGCACTCCTGCCCCCTCACTGGCCCACTGGGGTGCTGCTCCTCCCCAGGCTGTGGCTGAGAGGGGGGTGCACACAGCCCCTCTCCCTCCTGGCTCCCAGCAAGATGGCGGCAGCTAGACTTTCACAGAACTCCCCAAGGAACAACGAGAAAAGGAACTGAGGTGAAAGCACCGACGTTGTCAAGCATCCCAAGAACTGACTTCTGAACCCTGATCACGACCCCTAGGCTCTGAGCATCCTACACCAGAGTGTTACCTCTGGGCCAGGCCAAGCCAAGTGGAAGAGCCTCTTCCTAGCAGGAGACTGTCCACAGACCCCCCAGAGGGCTTAGGAGCAGCCTGGCACACTGATCAGGACCGGGCTCGCCAGGAGTTGACAAGGAAGAGGCATCTGAAAGAAAAGCGATTCATCTTGAGGCTGCATCAACAGGAGTACAGGGCTGAGAATATGGGAGGATACAAGCTCATTCTCTCTCTGCTAGGGACATTTTATTGGGTTAGGGAAACTGTTCTAGACGGGACCACAGTCACCCTGGAGAGGGTCTAGAAGGGGGTAGGCTGCTGAGAGCTCAGCAACCCAGACCACTTGGGAACAGCCAGAGGGCACGTGTGCGGTCAGCTGGAGGTGAGGCACCTCCCAGGAAGTGGGGCCATCTGTAGTCCCCCAGGAGCGGACAGGTGTGGTGGCTGCAGAGTACAGACCAGGTCTGGGAGGGACCCAGAGAGCTCCCAGCACAAGCTGCTTCCAATCAGAGAGTTGGGTTTGAGGCAAAATCTAAGCGCCCGGCCGACAATTTTCAAACAGAAGCTGAAGGTGCTGCTGGCCAGTCCCCCGGCCCCCCGGCCCTCGATTCCGAAGAGTCTGTGTGTCGTCTGGCTTTTCTGCTCTGGGAGCACCTAGGATGTTTTCTTTGTCCTTCAAGCATTGACACTGCACAAGGAGGCACTTGGTCTGGGGACACGGTGCACTCCTCCGATCTGAGGCCCGGAGCCCTCAGTTCTAGAAACGAGCATGTTCTCCTCCGGCCATTTCTTCCGCCGACTCCTCTCTTCCTGGGACTCCGTGAGTCGGAGGTCAGAGGTCTCAGACTGACCTCCTGCTTCCCTTCTTTATTTTTATTTCCTGTTGTCTATGTCTGCTGGGGATAGTGCATCTTTATTTCACAACCCTTTCATTGAATTTTCTCTCAGTAATTATTCAGGAGCTCTTTCTTGGTTTTGGGTAATTCCTTTTTTCTTTCTTTTCTTTTCTTTTCTTTTTTTTTTTTTTGAGGAAGGTTAGCCCTGAGCTAACTACTGCCAATCTTCCTCTTTTTGTTGAGGAAGACTGGCCCTGAGCTCACATCCATGCCCATCTTCCTCTACTGTATATGTAGGACACCTACCACAGCATGGCTTTTGCCAAGCGGTGTCATGTTTGCACCCGGGATCTGACCTGGCTAACCCCAGGCCGCCGAGAAGCAGAATGTGTGCACTTAACCACTGTGCCTTCGGGCTGACCCCCTGGGTAATTCCTTTTTAAAAGTAGCATCCCCTTCTCACTCCACAGCTGCCCCATCTCCTCGAAGCTCTCTGGGGGTTTTCCTTTTCATCTGGTTCAACGACTTTATCGAGACATAACTGATGCGCAGTGAATCACACATATTCAGAGGGTACCGTTCAGCGTGTGGATGTGTCTGTGGGGCTGCTGCCACTGTCGTCACCCCGCCGCCTCCCTCAAGCCCCCACGGAGTTGCTGTCCCTACAGCTTACTTTGCACTTTCTAGAGTCTTATATAAACGGAGACACGTGGTATGGACTTGTTTTGTCCAGTTCTTTCCAAAATGTCAAGATTTTGCGATCCCTCGGGGCTGCCAGGTGGTCAGCGGGGCCGGTCAGCAGGGCTTCTGGGTGGTCAGCGGGGGTGGTCAGCGGACATGGTCAGCGGGGGTGGTCAGTGGGGCTGCCTTTTTATTGCTGGGGATTATTTATTCCAGTTGCTCGCAGCTGTTCTCAAGTGCTCTCGGCCGCCCCGCCACCAGTCAGTCTGTTCCTCTGATTTTCTCCTTTTCCTTCATTCTGATCTTTCCTTCCTTCCTTGTGAAGATCCTTGGGCAGTGTTTGTGGTCTCTGCACCTTGATGGGCGGACCAGGCTGGGGCAGCTGGGGTGGTGGGCCCCCTGGGGGCTGAGGAAGCATCTCTGGGTCTTTCCTCTGGAGCAGTTGGCTTCTCCGTGAAGCCAATTCCTCTTCCTGCCAGGGTCAAGCCTGGCCGCAGCTGGTGGCAGGGAGAAGACGGCTGAGGAGGGAAGGGCTGCAGAGCCCCCCCAGCTCCCCTATCTCGGGGACCCACCTGCCCGTGTGCCTGCTGTCCCATGGTCTGCGGGCCCTCAGGGGACTCCTTCCTAAGAACGTCCAGTCTTCTGTGCGGGAGGGTATAGCGGTCAGAGAGAGTGGAGAAAGCAAGAAGGGAGGTGCTGGGGGTCTGGGGAAGTGGGGTCAGCCCCGTGCAGCTGCAGGACAGGGGTTGCTTCAGGAACCTGGCATCAGGGCTGGCCCTGCTCCCAGGGAGGGGCTGCTGGAACGCAGAGTCCGGCCAACCCCAAGGCCAGCACTTCAGGAAACAGCTGCCCACATCCCCAAAGTGAACATCTAGATAATGGCCAGCACAGGCTGACCACACTGGAACCCACCTGGGAAAGCGTGCATTCGCCTCCTATCTCTCTGGGGCTGTCTGCATCCTGTCCCCTGCAGCAAGGGCGTCTCCCAGCCCCAGCCCCTGTGAGAGCACAGAGGAGGGCGGAAATGACACTGACCACCAAGAGATCCTCTTGAGGGGGGGCGCTGGCAGGGGGTGGAAGCACATACTTCTTATAGAGAGGCTGCCAGCCCCTGCTTTCAGAGCCCTGCCACCCCCACAGTACCTGATGCTCCCACCCCAGCCCCAGGTCTGTGCGACAGACTGTTCCTCACCGTGTCCCCAGGGCACCTGGGCATTGCCCTGCTCCTCGCAGCTTCACAGGCGTTCACGGGGAGGAAGTACAACGCTCGTGCCCCTCTCTCCTCCAGGTCTTCCTCAGCCCAGGGACAAGCCGGTTTTCTCTGGCTTCCTTCCTCCTGCAGGTCAGCCTGGCCAGCTTCCCAAGGTCAGTCCTGCTGGTGTTCCCTGTTGCCCGAGGGAGAGCAGACCCCCAGCCCAGACCCCTCACTTACGCCTGCCATCCCCCTGGGGATGCTGAGGGTGGGGCCACCCATGGCTCAGGCAGGAACACACCCCTGCATTAGGACGGGTCCCCGAAGCCCCTCTGAGGTGGAGGTGTGCATGCAGGGGGTTCCCGGGCCTGTCCAGCGCTCATCTGCTGGTCGCCATGGAGGGCTCCCAGGACGGCCGGCTGGCCCTCATCCGGCCTCATCTGTCCTAGGCCAGGGCCACGCCTGAGTGTGGGCAGCTGGTTCTGAGCTCTGAGACCAAGCAGGCGTAGGGTGGGGACAGAGGGGACAGTCAGCTTCTGAGTCAGACAGGTGGCACAAGGGTCTGCAAGGGGTCAGGAGATGGGAGGAGCCCCTGTGAGACAGAGACAGTCTCTGGAACAGCAAACAAGTGAGAGATGAGAGGAGAATGGGAGATAGATGGGGAGGTGGAGGGAGAGACAGGGTTGGGGGGACCGTCTGGGAGAAAAAAAGGCAAAGGGAGATGGAGGGGGGAGACAGCGAGAGACTGGGGGGACAGTGATAGAGATGGGAGGGAGAAAGATGGGGGGACCGGGTAGAGGGAGCCGGAGATGAGAGGGAGAAAGACGATAAACGGAGGAGTGAGAAAGGGAGAAAACCCAAGAAAGACGAGGACAGTGAGCAGGAAGAGGGCAGAGCGGGAGAAGCTTGGGGTGAGGGAGACACACAGAGACAGTGAGACGCAGAGAGACCAACAGGAGCCTGGGGAGACAGACAGACCACAGAGGTACCAGGCCCCTCACGCTCTCCTGATTAGGTTGGTGGAGGGGGCTCCCTCATCTTCAGACCCCTTCTGGTCCCTCACGGGGGACCTGAGAGTGGGTGGGGGTCCTGGGTTCTCGAGGAAGGACCATGGGCCAGCTTTGCCTGCCAGAGGAGTCTGGGGGCCCCGTTCGCAGGGCCACATGGCCTAGGGGGACAGATAACTGGGCCAAGGTGCAGACCCCGAGAAGGTCCTGGCTGTGGGCCCAGAGAAAAGCCCCTCACAGAGCCCCTTGTCTGGCAGGATGCCACTGGCCCAGGTCCAGGCACCAGGCCAAGGCATGGGGTCCCTCATCACACTGAGCGGGGCAGGGGAGGTGGCGGATCCACAGTCTGGAGGGGGCCTCGGTGGAGCCCCCTCGGGTTAGGGGAGAGGGCACCATGACCATGCCATGCTGTTCGGGCTGGCCCAGGAAGTGGGAGGAGAGGGGGGGGAGAGAAAGGTTAGTGGGGAGGAGGAGAGCAGAGAGAGGGCCTGCAGCGTTTCCCTCCCAGCCCCCGCTGAAGCTCTCCTGGCCCGTCAGTTCACCTGTCATTCCCATCTGGCAGAGGCTCCCACCATCTTCCACCCTGTCTCAGGCTTGAGCCACTGTGTCTGTGGCTGCTGTCCCCAGGAACAGCTCGAACAGCTGCAGCATGGACAGGAGTGTCCTGTCACAGGTGGTGACCAGTGGCTCCATCGGCCTCATCCTGGTGCTGGGCCTGCAACTCAACGGCCTGGCGCCCTGCGTCTTCTGTTGCTGCCTGCGCAGGTGGACGGAGGACCGCATCTACATGGCCAACCTGGTGGCGGCCGACTGCCTGCTGCTGCTGAGCCTGCTGGGGGTCCAGCACACTGGAGGGCGCCTGTGCAGGTCTCGAAGAGCTCCTACTACCTCAGCACCTCCGTGAGCATGTGCCTCATCCCAGCCATCGCTGGGGACCGCGGCTCCACCCTGCACCTTCCCCTGCAGGCCGCCCCCACCTTCTGGTCCTCAGGGCGGTGGCCCTGTCCACGTCCGCACAAGCAGACAGCTTCTGCTTCGGGCAGAGCCCCACCCTTCAGGCAGGGCTTCTCCCAGCTCCTCTTCCTCCCACGGCTCCTCCTGAGCTTCTGTGTGGGGCAGGTGCTCGGGCATCTCCTCCGTGAGGGAACACAGGCGCTGCCCCAAGCCACAGCCCACATCTCAAGGCCCTCTGCATGGTGGCGGCCAACCTGGCCACCTTCACGGTCTGTTTCCTCCCACTGCACGTCGCCTTCTTGGCCAAGCTCGTGGCCCAATGGACAAATTTGGCCTGCCCCACCATCCAGAGGGTGGTCACCGTCAGACAGCCTGATTCTCACACGGCCAACGCCAGCTGCTGCCAGGATGCTGTCGGCTACTCTTCCACGGCCATGGAGTTCCAGGAAGATGTGGGGGCCGTCCTCGCCATGCCCCGGCCTTTCCAGGGATAGATGTGGGGCTCTCCTGTGCGTGGTGACCCAACCTGGGCGCCTGGGGGGAGGCAGCTGAGGAGAGCACGGCAGGAGGGGCCCGCGCACGGCCCTACAGCATGCTGCCCAGGGAGCCCTGAGTCCCCCCGATGCAAAACTCACTCCCTTCCTCCACAGTATCCACCAGAAACAGCCGCTTCATCTTAGCGTGATTTGATGCTGTCTCTGACAGTTTATGGGTCCCGGGGATGGGGCTATCCCCCAGCAAGTAGAATTGAACCACGAAGTTAAAGGAGCACCACCATGCGGATCTTTTCTCCAAAGCTCTGCTATGCCTGCCCCCAGGCGATGCCAGCCTCTCAGGTGGTAGACCTTTGTCAGTGTGTCCCGGCACCCCAGCCCTCAAGCTCGATGAGGAGTGACCCAGGTTGACCTCCAACCTCTAGCCTCCACCCATTAAGATGCTCAGGAAAGGAGGGACCCTCTGAGCACCAGGGCAAGTATTGGGGAGAGATGTTAAAGAAAATCAAGACATTATTTTTTCTGTCACCTGTAGATTATGATTAGACACCAAAATCTACTGGAAGTTTCAGGATGTCTCTTCAAGCCATTAAAACCATTGCAAATGTAACCGAAACAGATCCCAGGGCTGCAGGGTGTCACATTTAACAAGACATAGCCACTAAATAACTTTAAAGGAATTCCTCTAAAAAACTTTTTTAACTTGGGCTCCTAAAGAGGATCAAAGAGGTCCCCTCCGTAACCCGGGGCGGGGAGAGCCCCTTCTCCTCCCACTTCACATCTCCCTGCA